TTAATGTACAATGCTAATTACAATTATTGAAGAAACCAGTTTTTTTATCACAAAGGAAAAATTGGTAGAACATATTATTTTCATGTACACAGACTGAAACGGATTATAACAGGGATTGGCAAACTATGGACCGGCAGGCTTAATATGACCTGCTATAATATTTTATCTTGCCCACAGACTGTATAGAATATGCTATTATTCTGACGTAATAATTTTTTATGTTATTTTCCCTTTAGTATTATTATGGATAAAATGTTAAAAAATGTTTTGCTTGTGTGCCAATGGGGATCTCCTGTCAGATATACAATTAGATTAAGCTGTAGTTCAATGACATGCTTTGCTGTGGCAAAGAAAGGATAATTACATTTTACAAGTGCCTCCCATGTTAAGGATATTCTGTTCTAAAATCTTTTACCCATCAATTTCAGTATCTGATGTAGCATGAAATATTTATGCAAGAAGGCATGATTTATCTGCATAGAGATCAATCTTAACTGATCAATATTTGCAGTTGATTTTGATGACAAAAAACAAATTTTTAACTACATTTTCACTTAAACTTTATGTAAGAAAAAATGAATTTCCTCCTTTACATTAGTTCTTTATCCTTAACATGAAAAGAAGTCTGTTTGAGTTTATGTTTATTCCTAATGGAAAATTTTATTTAATAGGGTTTGAAGTAAATGATTAAAAATATATGCAATTTTTATATCATATACATATATACATAAGTTCAAGGTATGGATTTAATCTGAAAAAAATGATTAAATAAGGAACAAATTTGACATGTTTCTCTATTTATTTAGCTTCAGCAGAAATCTTTTTTGGAAGTAGAATGATGTAGAGCTGTTTAAATTTTTAAATCATATTGTTTTGTTTTCATTGGTTGTGTAGATGTCATGTGATCATATTATGGCATCAGCATGAATGTGTATGTATATATGTAGCAATTTACTTGTGTATGTGTCTCATGTCTTCTATGTGCATTTAATTCTTGAAATATTAGCATAATTATGTTTGCATTAAAAATTGGGTTTATTTGTATATTTTAATTGCATGATAAATTTTGACAACTGCTGGAAGTGAATCTGTAATATTAGATGACATCATCTGCAAATGTTCTCATTTGCCAGGCTTTTAACAGAGATTTTGTGAATATTGGTGATAATGAAGAAACATGTCTGAGGAGTATTTATTTTATGTTGATTATTAATTTAATTGTTTCAATTTTTAAATTGTTGTTTTGTTTTCATTTTTTGAATCACATTTTGGCAAAGTTGATATTTGCTAAGCAAATGCCTGCTGGTATCAGGAAAGGTTATATTTTTGGCTAATTCACACATTATATTCTCATTTTAACCTATACTGAAATCATTTCATAAAAATGGCCTACCTGTCTTTTAAAAATGTTTTGTAATTTACCAATTTAAGTGTTAGTGTGAAACTGATTACATAGGTAGGACCACTTAATTCCTAGAGAAGAGAATTGTCCAGCATGTATTAGGAAAGGTTGACTAGAAAATTTGTATAAGTGTTTTGCTCCATACAGGTGTGTCACCTCCAGACATTTTAATAAAAATTGTGATTGTGCATCATCATTCTATGAGGATATGTTTTGATAGGATCACATTACAACTATCACTTACAAGTCCTAAAAGATAGTTTATTTTAAATCTAGATAACCATCCTAATACAAACAAAATGATTGGCTGTTACAATTATTCATATATATGTATATTCTATATTTTACCTTTTCTTTAAATGGTGCACAAAAATGTTTTAATTTCCTCATTGATCAAGTTTGGATGAATGAAGAGAGATAAAGTGTTAACTCATTTTATAATTTTTAAAATTGTTTGCTCATTTTTTTTTTATATTGTCAACTACTTTTGTTGCATTTTTCCTCTTGCCTCTTTTAATTTTGTCTGTTTTTATTTCATTACTGTATTTTCTGGCATACAAGATGCTGCAGCTTGGAAGACATACCCTAATACTGGAAAGAAATTTCTAAGAAAAAAATGTTATTCTCATACAACAACACATTCACCATGCATCCCTCATATACTGGCACCACATATTGTTTATATTAATCACTCATCTGATTTTGTTTGTATGGCAATGACATGCTAGTCAAGAGCAGAAAGGCTCCCGCTGCTGCTAGTAAACAGAGCATGTTTAAGCTTGTGGCTCGGCTCCAGGAAGGTTTATAGTCTTGGAAATACTTGTAACAGCTAAGTAGTGAGGTTACATCATATAAAAGGCTGAATTTGATAGATAGCTAACATTATAGTGTAATGACTCAACATATAAATCCATGTCCCTATCAGTCAAGCCAATTAGGTGACTGCCCAAGATTACTTGAGCCTGGGTGTTGCCTTACATTCATCACACACGTATTTTCAGAGTATTTATTAGGAAAAAAAGCATGTCTTGTAAGCTGGAAACAATGGTAATTAAAATTTGTACTGCTAATAAGATTTTTAACAAAGATAAATATTTATATACCAACATCATTAGTTGTTAGGACATAATGTGATATGTCTATAGATATATGTGTTATGAATAATCAAGAGTGGTCTCCTCTTGTTTCGTTACTCTCCTCTTTGAGAGAGCTATTTCTGTTTACTGGGACTATAAAAAGACACTATACGCGAACCTTGTATTCTCAGTTGAATAAAGCTTTCTTAAAGCCCACACTTGCATACTTTTGTCATTACAATATGCATGACAATATATTATTCATACATGTTTATTTTCTTTCCTCATTTCCTCTTTTTAGTCACTGTGCACAATATTTTAATTTCTTCAAACAAGTTCAGATGAGTGCGAAGGAATACAGTCTGTAGCATTTTTGTTTTTTGTCTCTTTTCATTATTTCTTTTGGTATTGCCAGCTACTATAGTTGAATTTTTCCCCTTGTCACTTTTAATTATATGTTTTTATGGTATTAATTAGAATTTAAAATCGAAAACGATTTTGTAGTATATGACTTAACCAAAATTTTCAATGAAGCAAAACATGTTATATTTTTAAAGGTTTACTTATTTGTTCCTTATTTAATCATATATGTATATATATATATATATATATATATATATATATCCGAATGGTTTCACCAGGAGTTTATCTTTACCCACAAGCCCAAAAGACAATGCCAAACTAGCCCACTTTCCCAAAAGTTTGCCAGCCCCTGGATTAGATTGAAAACAGGTTAATCTTAATGTTTCTATGTCTCTTAGCAGAAATCCAGCAACAGGCCAACACACACCATATAAATAAAAAATAACAACAATAATAATAACAATAATAATAATTTATAAGGCAATATAAGTCAGATCAGAAATTGGTGACAGAATTTCAGTTGTGGGGGAGTGAAATATATTGGGAAACGAGCTTCTTAAACAAGAAATTCATGGCAGTAAATTTGTAAAATATATACATATATATATATATATATATATATATATATATGGAATTGACTACATTGTTGATAATGTCTGTACATTAAATTTGTATGCATTTAATATTGTATAAAATAGAATGCACCAAACAATAAAAGCTTTTAAAGTCTCTTATTTTGTTTCAGTTGCAGGAAGGATTTATAGTTAAGTAAAATAAAAGACAAAGAGAGCTCTAAAAAATAGCAACACAAATGCTATCAAAGTATATTTCAAACAACAGTAACAATACTCTATATATATATATATATTTATATATATATATATATATATATATATATATATATATATATATATATATATATATGTATACACACACACACACACACTCACTCACAAATACAGGTGGGTTAATATACATATATATGTTTACATATGTATATTAAAAGCAGTACTACATGAAATGTATATATGGCTTTAAAAACAAATATTTTAAAATTATATTAAGACAAAGTAGGAAGAAGGATAAACTAAAAAGAAATTATTATTTACTGTAAAGTTGTGAATTGAAAATAAGAAAAAAGAAACAGTAAGTAACAATATGTTTTGATTATACTTTTCTTCTCCCTTTTAATATCTTTGTATATATATATATATATATATATATATATATATATATATATATATGTATAAAAATAAAGTTTTCAGGTATGCTATCTTTATAGCTAAAAGTGCTCAATATCAGGGATAGAGAGTATGTAAATATTAAAGTGGACACTGAGGTCTGAAGATTATGTTCAAGCATGAAACAGACTGTCACCATTCGGTATTGACCTTGGTGTCCACTTTTATATATATATATATATATATATATATATATATGTGTGTGTGTGTGTGATTAAACATTGTATTTGCTCACCCAAATTCCATAGACTTTTACTGAATATGTCTGTATGTAAACTTCATTTCTTCTTAGCAGCAGTTTTCATTTATTTTATAATTTTTGACATTGTGAAGAAACTTTAGGAAGAAAGTATAAAGTAAAATAACAACAATCATTTCTTTTTTCTTTTCTTTCTTGAATGTTCGTTTTTTGTCCTAATTTATGTTTTTTTCTTTACTTTAGTTCATTCTGCTAATAACAATGGCTTACTGTTCATGCCTGTTCCAGATTTCTGGAAAATTCAAATAATAGAATTTGATTTGCAGTTTTGTGTAAGGGTGCCATACTGTCCTTTCTGAGAGAGAACTAGAAAAGCAAAATGACACACAGACAGACAAAGTTAATGGATAGATGATAGAAACAAAGAATAGAAAGACATATTTTTTAAATTGTTCAAAAGCTCCAAGAGTCTAGTAAAAAATACAGAAAATAGTTAATTATTTTTTTAAGAGATCCATACACTGAAACTTCCAGCTGTAAAAACTGTTTGAATTACACAAAAAAAGTTTATATCCATCCAGTTGTTTCTTTTATAGTTTTAATTATTTAATTAAATCTTTAAAAAATTCTATTTTTTTAAAATGTTATTTTCAATTATTGATTTCTTTTTCATTTATTTCTACATCCCAGGTGTGGATTGTGTTTTATTTCTAAATCACTCATGTCTGCACTTGTCGTCGTACCTTGGAGCGTACAACTTGCAACATGATCAACTTGCGGGCACCAAATTTGTCTCCAAGAGCAACAATAGTTCCCTTATCTCGGCTCATTGTCACAAAGAATACATCCATATTGGTGTTGAAAGAACAAAACTGGGATCCTGTTTGAGTACGCCAAAGCCTAATACTGCCATCCTGGGAACCAGATGCAATAATCTCATTGTCTGGAGAAATGGCAACACAAGAAACCTGCAAGAAAAAAAAAAGAAATGCATTTTTATTCTTTTTATTTTTATTTATATCAATAAATTATTATCTCTTCAGGATTTAGATGGGATGACTTTTGAAATATCAGCACCACTGAATTTTTAATTGTGTTACTTGCAAATTATTTTTTGACTACTGATAAGAAAGTCAATTCACAACTTACTAGTTTTTTACTAATTGTTCATCCAATATAAGGCCCAAGAGCCACTCAAAGTAGAGAGTAACTGAATGAGGCTGTTGTATGAGCATAGTAGGTAGTGGTAGGACATTCAGTTTATGAGAATATGTAGTAAAGAGAATGTTTAACCCTAGTGGTTAAAATTGTAATGATTGGGAGTCTGTTCCATGAAGTACTGGTTTTGGGGAAGAAAATATTGAATATTGAATGAAGTTTCCTTCTTACTAATAGAATGTGAAGAGAATGGAGGTGATTCATCCCAATGTATGTGGCATGATGGGTCTTAGTTATGAAAGTTAGAAATGAAGGAATGTAGCTTGTTAGAACATTTGCCATGGAAATAGCAACAAAATAGCAAGAGGCTTGTGATGTTTAATTCTTGGAGCTTTCAAATGTAAACCCAATTTACTACTTATAACCTAATTTTGCAACCCCACAATAGTCTGACAATGCATGAATTTCAGATTAAGTTGCTTTTGAAAGACAAATACAACTAAATTTGTAACTTTTATGTGTTACTTTTTAAATAAATGGGATAACTATAACCTAATAATCCTAAAAAATTACAAATTTAATAGAAACATTTTTTAAAGTGTTACTCAATTTATTATTTGCAGTCCAAACTGGCAACCTTGAAACGATATCACCCTCATTACATTATGACTTATATCAGCAAATCATACGGTTTATGGTACAATTCCATGGGAATCATATCTTGTCCAATATAAAAAAAATGAAGGAACAACAAATTTAGTGTTTGTCAACTCTCAGAGTAAATTCTGCCTGTCACCAGAAGTTTCTGAACATTAATATCAAAACTCAGATTGGACTTTTGTATATAGAACATATAGGCAACCAAGTTGTATATAGAACTTTATAGGCAGCCAAGTTGTATATAGAACTTATAGGCAGCCAAGTTGTATATAGAACTTTATAGGCAACCAAGTTCTATATAGAACTTATAGGCACCCAATTCTGTTTGGATATTTGTTCCTCTTTCAAAAGAAAAAAATTAAATTGCATTGAAAAACACATTGTACATAATGAGTTGGGCTTATTGAAGATCCCATGAAATTATTAATATAAAAACATATTAGATCTAATGAGTAGTGTTTATTGATAATCTTATGAATTCATTAATATAAAAAACATTGAATCTAAAGAGCTAGGCTTATTGAAGGCTTCATTACATCAAAGTCCCAGATCTGTAGAAGAAGAGGACATCTTTTAATAAAGCAATGAAAAAATAGAATTGATTGATTGACTGTTTTTTTTATGGATTATCAACCCTTTGTGTGTTATTTAAAACTGAAACATATTTAATATTTTAAGAATAATTCTTTTTTTTTTGCAAGTGATTATTGCATTAACAATTTTTTGGGGGGAATAATAATGATTTATCTAGATACAACTCTTACTAAATAGTAAGACTTGTATTAAGACTTATTAATATAAAAACAGATTGGATTGAAAGTGTAGTGTCTATTGAAAGTCTCATAAATTTCTTAATATAAAAAATAAAACTAGAAAATAAATCAAAACAAAAATAGGTGAAAGTAAGTAAGTATATATATATATATATATATATATATATATATATAAAAAGAGAGAATATAATAGAGAGAGATACAGAGAGAAAATAACAGAGAGAAATATAGAGAGGGAGAGAGAGAAAGGTGGGTGAAGAGATAGAAAATACACAGCAAACAAAGACAAGGGGTGAAAATAAAAAAGCAGGAAAAGATTTAAAACCATAAAGAATTGATAATTAAATAAATGTAAGCAATAAAAAATACAATTCTTAAATGAAAAAAAAAATACACCAACCTCGCCTGTATGACCGATGAGGGTATTAACTAGTGTCTCGTTAGACATATCCCAAACTTTGATTGTGCTATCGGCAGAAGCTGACACCAATGTACTAGAATCTTCTGAGAGTGCCACAGCAGTAACCTCTGCATTGTGAGCATGATTACCAGAGGCTGACAACATTTGGCGGAGTGGCTGGCCATTACGCAAGTTCCAAACCACTAAGTCACCATTTTTCAGACCAGTGACTGCTTCATTTTTGAGAATAGCCGTACATTCAGGGTTAGCATTCATCTTCAGTATGCTAGGTTCAACGACATTGTAGCTGGTCAGTGTCATATCAAAAACCACAAATTCAGCACTGCCATCCATTGTGTTCTGGAAGCCAGCCACTGCATATCTGTTATTCTGTGACAGACTCAGAAAACTGATGTAGTCATTATTGCCAACGCTTGCTTCATAACGCATCTCTTTAATTGGCTGATTGCCCAAGAGATCCCACACAATGACGCTCGTACTATTTCCAAGCTTGTCAGTTCGCCCCAGGGCCACCTTATCTCCATCACTCATAACTTGCAGGGCAGAACAATATTCTTCTCCTGGCATTACTAGAGGTCTTCCAGAATCAAAGTCCCAGATCTGTAGCAAAAGAGAACATTTTTCAATAAGGCAATGAAAGAATAGAATTGATTGATTGATTTTTTTATGGCTTATCAACCCTTTGTGGGTTATTTAAAAATGAAACATTTAATATTTTATGAATAATTCCTTTTTTTTTTTTGCAAGTGAATATTGCATTAACAATTTTTGGGGCGGAATTATCTAGATACAAGTCTTACTATTTAACCCATAGCTGTGATTGATTCATACCTTTCCCAAGTGTATTTGTACATAAGTGAATGTAATGAACCTGACTAGAATTCAAACTCTGCTTTCCAATTTCTCATTGAGAACCATTATCCATTATACCACCCACACATGCAGACGAATAGAAGAAAATCTTCCTATAAAGAAATAATAAACACAATCTTTACCAAGTGTTTCTCAGACCTGAAGTTTCATGATAATTTCATCTAAGTATAGTAAATATGAAAATTGTAGTCTGAATTATGGCTGAGGCAGTTAAATGTTTCTCACCTGTACCATTGGTCAGGATTTGAGCCAAGGTAAGAAGAAAAAAAAATAAAAAAAATGAGATTTTCTTGACAGGCAGGCCCACCCACTTAGAAAACTGGTGTAACTCAAACTTCTTACACTATTTTTCCCCACATAGCCTTGTACCAAACTAAGTAAATATTACCAAAAATACTTGAACAAATAAAATAAATGTGACAAGCCAAATCCCTGTCTTATGAAAATTTCTTTTAATAATAATTTAAAAATGATTCAGCAGACAATGTTATTTTAATTATGGCAACTGGATTTTTGGCAATTGCTTTACTTGGTTTTTGTTGTTTGATACTGTGTTTTTGAAAAATGGCACTTTTACTTTTTGGCCTTTGTTAAGATCAAAGTGTAGTATCTGTTCTTATCAGCTTAATCCGATTCACTCTTCACTTCTATCTTACCTTCTTTTTTTCTTTCTTTCATTTTTTCACTGAAACCAAGTAGTTTTTTTTTCCTCTCTTTCCACATGATGAAAACAGAATAGTCCATTATTTATGTGGTATTGGCAAGGTGTAATGGTCATGCAAACTAATGAATGGCAGGACAAGCACAATTATAATAGGATTTCTGTTTGAATTTCTGTGATGAGGAATTTACACTCTGTCTAATGTCTTTATCTTATTTTTATCACAAGTTTTTCGCTGTTATGCTCTTCAACTTTCTACAAGTGTCTGTCAATCTGAATAACCTTAAGGAAATTTAAAACTAAACACTTTATTCAATTTACAGGAGTAGATTGTTCTCATTCTGTTGGCCATGTCAAGGAATGAATTTTGTTCTCTTTTTAGTGCAACTTCATTATTTATTGCCCTATTTCCACTCTTTCAAACAGGAGTAGAGATTTATCCATTGTTCCCTATTTAGGATTGGGTTTCTAGTTCCTTCTAAAATCTTTTCATTCTCTTTCACTCCCAGTAGCCCTTTGTGTCTTAGTGGCATTATCACCTTGCTTGGGGTGAATTGATTAAGAAAAATAAAAGTCTGTACTCCCCAGCCCAAGCATTGAACAAAATTACTATGTTACTAAATACACAAGCCAACACTTTAATCCACTAGGTCTTATCGTAAAAGAAATGTGATTTGTAACTGGCTTAACACTGACAAGTACTATCTTGTTTTGAGGACTGTCAATACATATTCTTCCTGGGTTAATTTTGTTAATGCTCTTTTAATAACATGGAAAAATATAGTATCTTTTACACCTTATTTTTTAATTTTCCAATATATATATTATATAAAATAGATTTCTGAAAATAAATACAAACTTACAATCAAATCTGCTGAAGAAAAAAAATTGAGTAGAGACAAGATGATTGAACTTTTAATTTTATTTATTACTATTAATGCTCTTGATACTGAGTATTCTAATTGTAAAGACTGATTTAAAAACATTAACATCCAGAAATTCACTTTTTCTTATAAAACACTATCTTTGTAATTGTTATTATAAAATATGGCTATAAATATTCTCATTGAATATTTTAATCCAACTTTATTACTGATAACAGTAGATATTTATTATTTTATACTGTATTTAAGAATTCTACCAATACTTCTAATTTAATTACATTGAAATGCTTTTCTTTACTATTTATTAGAGCTTAACAATAAAAATTTAAATAATTTGGATACTCATTCTTGTACGGAGTTTAAGCAACTTGAGTAATGGCCAAAATCTCAAGTTGCTTAAAAAAAAATTGTATACTTCTTCCACCTTTTTAGAATTTAGGTGACTTTATCAATATCAGAGAGAGAGACAACTGGTTGGTTAATCACACAAATTATTATTATTATTGTTGTTGTTGTTGTTGTTGTTTTGTGTTTGATCTGATGAGGGTATTTAACAACATGACTTTTAGTTTTCAGGTTAATGTTTTGGTTTTGCATCAATTTGTGGTGTTGGGTGAAACTATCTCTACCACATCCTATTCTATGTTCAATTTCCTTATCTCCTATGCTAAATTTCTTATAACTGATACAGATGCCAAAATTCAGGATGTGATATTAGTAAATACCAAACACTTGAAATCAAGTATTTGGTATTTACTAATTCCACATCCTGAATTTTTATGATGTATATTCAGGGTGTACATCATCATTACTTTCATTTCAATTCTAGTTTATAGTTTTCTGTTTTGGAAAGGTTTATCTTGAGTAAAGCAATGACTCATCTAGCAATAAATTTGTGATCACATTAACTTAGAGTTTTGCACACATGAAATGCAATGATCAGTTCCCATGACATAAGCTGTCTGATCCAGCACATGGCACCACGTGTCCAAACCATGTCACCAAAATACAAATAGATGAACTTTAATTCTGCTTTCTGACCATAAAATAAAAGAAAACAATTACTTTTATGCATCATTCTATATAAAAATATACATTTTACTTGAGTGTCCATGATGTAGATTTTGACATCCTTCATATTGAGGCCACCCACTTCTATTTTCTTTTCCCTTAGATCTTTCCACCCTTAGGGAGTAGAGTGCAGTGGCTCCACCTACTTTAGGAATAATTATTTAAAAATATCTAATGAAAAACTGGTTATCATTTTACTTAGAAAATATTTAAGTGATTAGACAAAATTTAAAGCATATGCTTATTATGTTTTTAAGTATGTGGTATATAGAAACCATTGATAAATTATTCAATTGGGTGCATCACTGTGATGTAATGAGGGCAAGATAACCTACCAGACTGTTATGATTGTGGTAAGTTTAATTTACAATGAGTGCCACACACATGTGGTTTTGTACCAGACTGAGATGAGTTTAGAAAATATTAGTAGTGTCTGATAAGAATATGAGAATAAATTTTTCATATGTAAAATAATTGTTTAATCACTTCTGGACTTAACATCAGCCATGGAGGGTATGTGGTTTTTAGAAACTTTCTTTGAACATTTGATCTTGCAAGAATGTAAGGGATTCTCTGCTTTCCCTCTAGTTATATGATTTTCTTGTATGTGCAGATCCTAAGTTCAACTGGGATCATTCTTGTTTATGTTGGTGCATTCTTTTCAGGTCCTATTCTACACTTGGGTCTATGAGGTCACCTTCTAAGTTAACTCACTCAGGCATATAGCTCTTTTGATTCACTGAAGTGACATAGAGTACAAAACTTACTTTGGTATCTCTTAGGATGAACCCATTACATACTTGGGTCACCACTGATCAACTCCTCTTAGATCAAAGGTTCCTGATAGATATTAAATTCAATTCATATCTCTGGTATTTTTTATCATGAATCACATACTTCAAGTACCCCACACATGTAGTCTTGTGCCAGACTAAGCTAAGCTTAGTAAATATCAGTAACAAATTCAGTTTTCTCCATAAACGGGTCACTAATATGTATGCATAAATATAAAATCTATAGTTAAGAAAAATATCCTTTCATTCCTAATAAAGAAGTGGACATAAGGAGAACTTTTTCTTACCTGAAGGTTCCTGTTTGTCACTCCTTTCTTTGTCGAAAACTCATTCACTCCAAGGTTGTCCATGTTGACACTGCCAACAAGCAATTGACCATTGTAGGCCAGATGAAGATTGGAAGCACCTAAAACATTACCCTGCATAGCACGGAGAAGTTCTCCCGACTACAAAACAAAAATGGAAATTTTCCAAAATTTTACTACATATGCAACCAAAAGAAAATACCCAATTTCTTAAAAGTGTGTGAAGCAGAATCAACATTATCATTACCTATAATACCAATATCTTCATCTTCATTATTATGTATGCTATCATTATCAATATTATCACAATTATCTTTCAAATTTATTACTCTCATCACATTTAGTTTATTTTAAAGATATCTATTTAGTCTAGTCAAGATAATATCTGCAACAAAACCATTATATTTTGTTCAGGTATTAAAAAAAGGGTTCCTCCTCCTTTTAATCCCCAAATGGCTTATATATAGAGCCCACTAAAGGATTAGTATAACCTAGTCTGAAGATTGGATTGAGGTATAAAACTAACAGTTACCATGCAGTGTTGATTCCTATGTCCAAACACTCATTGACACTCTCTTTAAAACAGCATAGACATAGAAATCAACACCCATCGTGACTGTCAGTTTCATGCCTTCGAATGAATTGAAGAAGGAGAATATAATACAAGTTAATACAAACCTGCATATCCCAAACTTGAGGGGCACCAGTGCTGGATCCTGTGACCACGCTGTTCCCATCACTGGTCATCAGGCAACAGTCAACACGCACACCATCAGCGATGACAACCTGCCCAGGTAGTGCAGGCGGGGAACCACCCATTGTTGAAGCATTGTAGTTATTCATATAGGATGATGAGGATTCATTACGGGCTGCATATGATTTCATTTGATAGTGGTATGAGGATGAAAGTGTGTTGGTCGACGAGGAATAACCAGAGGCTTCTAGAGTATTGTGGGAGAAAACATCTTGTTGCATATTTGATTTTCCATCTACACCAAGTGATGAATACATTGTGTTATCAAATTGTTGATGAGAAATACTGCCTCCACCACCTCCACCAACTCCACCAACTACACCACCTCCACCTCCACCGCCCATGTATGACGACGAATCATAGTTGTAGTTGGCCATTGATCTGTCATAGTTTGTAATCCCTCCTCCGTAGCCACTTGCCACAGCAGAGGATCCATCCATATAAGTGAACCCAGACCCTGCACTAGCTGAGTGGACATTGAGAGTGTTCTGTTGAGATGAGTACCCAGAAGATTGTGCAGTAACTGACCGTCCTTGCCTTGGGGTTCCTATAGCAGTTCCTTTATTGGAGAATGTTCCCGTCACACGGAGGGTAGCACTGTCACCAGCTTGACCAGAACTGGCGCCACTGTATGATGAACCAGTGTTGAGGTAAGTAAATCCAGAGCTACTCCCTCCTCCTCCACCTCCTCCACCAGCTGCACTACCGTTAACAACTTGAACTTTGGCCTGACCACCACCTCCTCCTTCCCCTCCCGCTGATTGCTGAATTAAAGGTGCGGTGATTCCAGGAGATGAAATGGATGGGCCTCCGCCACCTCCTCCTCCGCCACCGCCGCCACCACCACCACCGAATGGTGAGCACATTCCCGGTTTACAGTGGACAAATGCCCACGTGAGTCCTGCACCTAGAGTTAGTAAAGCCAGGAAGGTTCCTGCAGCTGCACCTGCTCTGCTACCAGCAGCTGCACCTGCAGCACCACCTGCACTTCCAGACCCACCAGCACCTCCAGCAAGAAAAGCAGCAGAAACAACCCCATCAGAGTTACCAGCACCTCCTAAAATAGAGGGGCCCGCCTTTATGGGTGCATAATGAGGAACATCAACTGCTACTCCAAGACCACCATCATCATCTGATTCAACCAAAATTCCTGAAATGGCTTCTGGAGTTCCTACTGGTATAATGGTTATGCCGCTACTCCCAGTAGTTGTAACTGAAGGCGTTGTTGTAACTTTAGAAAATTCAGGCTTGATTGGTGGAATACTCCTAGAAAAGTTTAAGAAAAGATATTATGAGCTGTTGATGAGCATATTTACATTTAAAGTATTAAAAAGCAGGGACATTTCATTAGAAACAAAGAAAAGAATACTGAACTGCTTTGTAATATCAATCCTCCTATATTGTAGTGAATGCTGGACAATTTCTTCAGAGATAATGAGAATACTTGTGGCAACAAAAATATGGTTTTATAGAATTATGCTGAGAATACCATGGACTGAAACATGTGGTCAATGAGGAAGATGTAGGGAAAATGTAAACAAAAAAAAGGATACTTAAAATCAGAAAGAGATAGTTGAAATTTCTGGGACACATAATAGGAAAGAAAGTTTAGAGAATTTGACACTCACAGAACATTGAAAGCAAGAGAGAAGATGGAAACAGTAAGTAATCTACCTAATAAGCTTACGTAAATTAATAGCAGAATGGGAACTATTTTCAATAGAAAAAAGGTAAGTGCTTAAGTGAAGACATTTTTAATGGTTAAATAAGCAATTCAATGCAAAACAGATATACAGAGAAAGAAAATGCTTGTTTATATGTTGTATATATTTATATATATATATATATAAATTGTTGCATATATGTTGAGAATAGAAATGCTGTTTGAATGCACAGGTTCCAAAATAAGTAGGTATCAACAATACACAGACTCTATATTAATACACTGTATATATTCCTTGGACATTAACACATGCTCATACTCTTCGTTGTATATGATCATACAGATAGTGAAAATCATTCTGCAATACATATACCTCTTGCACTTGTTGAAACAAAACACATACAGTTGTAGATGGATTAATTGAATGAGTCAAGTATTGTTCCATCATGTCCTATGAATGTTCAATGGGGGATAGGTCTGGTGAACTTGTCAGTCAGGAAAGTTACTGAACATCCTTTATAGCATGTTAAGTAGAACAGGCATCATATGGGCAGGTATTATCCTGCTAGAACAACACATCAACTTCCTGATTTAAGTATAGCAGCAGAAGTGGTTTTGAAGAATGTTTCTTCCCCAATGTCCAAAGGTAAACAAGTGTTGTATCTGATATCAATTGCATAGAAATGACTGCAAAACACTTTTAAGTAGTTTCTTTTGTGAATGGAATATCAACCAAACAGATTTTTGTCTAGAAATTATCTGTAGATAAAAAATTGAAAATATTTATTTACTTACGGTCCCAAAGTGAAAGGATGAATAGCAATTTCTGCATCACCAGATGAGATTCCTAAACTGTTTCCTTTACCCGTATTCTCAAATGGATGCAGATTGTTGATATAATAACCTATAAGATTTTTTAAAAGAAAAAAAGATTAATTAAAAAATGAATCATCATAAAAACTCTAAAATAGTGTTTGTGTGTGTGTGTGTGTGTGTGTGTGTGTGTGTGTGTGTTTATAAATGGTTGTCCAAGAAGAGACAAATCACAATTATAAATTATTTTCTTTAAAAGCTTTAGTTAAGAAAAGGATAATACCCACAATATTTCTGTATCGAAATACTTACCAGCTATGATGCCATGGAAGGGATTGATGTAATCATTAGTTGATGTCCTTTCTCTAGCTCCAATTGCAATTGTTGTAAGCTTGTCAAAGTAACTGGGGATTTGGTCTAAAAAATAAAAGCATAAGAATTAATACATTTTGAAAAGAAATGCACTTTATGTTATAGTCTTCCAATTTAATGTTCACAATTTTGTGTAGGGGATGTAAAGGAATCCTATGAAAAAAACAGTATAGTACTGGGAAAATTTACTAAATCAGTGTCTAACTTGGGTCTCTTCCCCAAATCTAACCCAATTATCAAGCAGATATTTTTGAAAGGAGTTTTGGTTGACTGAGAACATTTCCTCACTCATATATATATATATATATATATATATATATATGAAGATCACATAAAGATTATGAAATTGACAATTATCATGCACTGTTGATTCCTATATCCGCACAATATATATACAGGGTGTATCAAAAATATTTTTACAAACTTTAGGGGCAGCTTCTTTACACCAAAACAAGGTAAAATGTCCATATAAACATATGTCAAAAAGGCCATCATTGTATATTAACACAGCAACTCATAACAAATTTTTCAAAATGTCCTCTGCTTGCTTCTACACATGCATGCACCTATTTGATCATTGATTGGTGGATCCTTTCAAATACTCCCACATGGTATCAAATAGTTCCATAGGCTACCATGACACATTGATGAAGCAGTCTTGTATCATTAATGTCTGCTGCATAAACCAATTATTTAAGGTGGCCCCACATATAAAAATCCAAAGGATTAAGGTTGAGGGAATGTGCAGACCATGGAACCATTCCTCTTCTTAGTATCCATCTTTCATAGTAGATGTCAGCCAGTATGTCACAAACAATGTGACTAAAATGTACTGGAGCCCCATCATGCATGAATCACATGTGTCTTCGTATTAACAGGGGTACATCCTCTAGCAGGTCGGGAAGTGTGTTTTAAATTAAGTCTCTGTAGACAGCTTGTGTAAGATGTACTGATAGAACATATGGACCTACCAGACAGTCACCTACAATTCCAGCCCACACATTAACCATAAACTGATGCTAGTGTCTAGTCTGTATTGTACCATGGGGATACCAAGTGGATTCTGATCCACTCACAAATGTTAGTTGTGTAAATTTGTTATTCCATCTCCTTCAAATGTTGCTTCATCTGTAAACAAGACTTAAGAGACAAACAATAGATTGGCAGTTTGTGCAATAAACTATCGTCCAAAGTTCTTCTGTGGAGAGTGATCAGAAGATGAAAGAGTGGTAATAGTTGTGTATTATCACATAAGCTAAATGTACTGCTCCCAGGCCTTCAACTTTAGTATTTGAAATTTTATTATACTTTTCAAGCAACAAAACATTTGCATGGTACATGTCTCCAGGTCAGACATTTGAAGGGTAGTTTGTTTCTTGCTTGTATCCAATCTTCACTGTCTACTTTTATATTTATACACACTTTATCCCTGATATTGAATAATTTTACCCATAAATATAGCATACCTCAAAACTACATTTTTTAAATATATGTGAATAAATATATTACATAAATAAAGTATAAACATGAGAAGAGTAGAATAAATACTTAAATAGACACTAACGTCTATTCAATGTCACTGATGATTTTACTGAAGTAATTTACAAAAATAAATAGTTAAATAATGCAAAACTGTAGCCACTCATTAATAATAAAAAAAAAATAACCTTGATGTGTACTGGTTACTGGTGTCTGTTCATCAACAATTAAACTTGAGTTTGCCAAAGTCCGGCGGAACTTGACTGTATGGTATGCACCATCACTGTAGTTTCCAACCATCCTCAGAATATGGACTTGGGGTCCTGTATCGTACATTGCGACAAGTTTTCCATCCACCTGAATATAAGGAGAGAAAATTACTTTCAGTAACCTCTTAGCATTTGTAGATATTTTATGCTTTTTACCTTTGATATTAAACCTAAATATGACATAATAATAGACTTGAAAATATTTCATGGTATCTGCCTTTTATTTTAAGCTTTTCTACTTTTAAAGTTAACATTGAATTTAATAAGAGAAATTTATTCAACAAAAACAACAATAATCAATAGCACTGTTTTTATAATTTATTAATGCATGTTAATATCTGACTGATATGTTTTTGATGGTTTATCACCCCTTTGTTTGTGATTTAAAGCCAAAAACATATTTTGGATTGTAAGAATATTTCTTTTTTTTTGTGAGTAAATATTGTACTAAATTTTTTTCTTGAGAATTACAATGATTTTTCCAGACACAAATTTTTCTATTTAATCCATAATTGGGGAGAAGAGATAGATTTCAGTTATGCACAATACCTTTGGGGAAGGATATTTGTGCATAACTGAATGTAATGCACCCAACCAGAATTCAAACTCAGCTCTCCAATTTCTTATTCTGTACTACTATACATTACAATAGCTGCATGTCACGTTAATGTTTAAAAAAAAAAAAATTGTTTCCCCTGGACAGAAGTTATAACACATTATAAAAAGAAACACATTATAAAAATATGAGATGAAAGAGCAAAAATTACTAACCAGTTTGATTTCAATAAAATCTTTGTTGACACTGCTTGTGATTCGGGTAAGAGTTCCATCGTTGTCATTTGTCATAAAACCAAATGAAATAGTTTCTTCTGCTGAATCAAGACGCTGATCATGTGGATAGGTGTAGATAATCATGCCATCTAAATGCTTTTCACCAAAATAATAACCAATTGTCTCTGTAATCAAACAATGTATACAGATTAAAAAGAACAACAGCAACAAAAAGGTCATTTTTATAGATTTCTGCCCCAACAGGATTTAACTTTTTGTTGTGATGTAAACAAAGAGTCTGTTGAGATTGTGGGGAAACACCTAACCAATTGCTCTCCCAACAACTACAAAGATACTAGGGAGAGAGGGGGAAAGAGACAGGAGATTACAAAAAATAACACTGCTTCAGAAACAACAACAATTTGAGGAAAAAAAATGTCCATGGGACTGACTTCACAAGACACTGTCTTGCCAACTACTGTTTTTTCTAGCTTTTATTGGCATGAGGAATCTTAAAAAGATTGTGACCAGTTGCAGAGAGGCCCGTATCTAGCTAGATATGCCAAACTGTTCTGTTGCTAATGGGAAAACTCGGATGTAATTGGTGTTGACAAACATGTCTGCATGTGATCTGAGGTCTCTTTTGTGTCTGTACTGATGTGTGTTTGCCACATTTTTACTTTTTAATATTAAACTTTAGGGATTAAAAGCTAAACAAAATACTAAGAACACAAGAAATTTTCATTAGAAACAAAGAAAAGAGTGCTGAACTGCTATGTAATATCAATCTTCTTAAATGGCAGTGCATGTTGGACAATTTCCTTCCTTATGAATAAAGAGAAGACTGGAGGTAACAGAAATTTGGTTCTACTGAAGAATGCTGAGAATACTGAATGCATAAGCAAAGAAGAAGTATTAAGGAAAATGAAAAAAAAAGGCACTTATACTCAGAATCAGAAAGAGAGAGCAGAAATTTCTTGAATACATAATGAGAAAGGAGGGCTCGGAGAATTTGACATGCACAAGACATACCGAAGGAAAATAGGACAAGGGAGATAGAAGGCTATCTAGCTGACTATCTTATGTGAATGAATGGTGGACTGAGGGGATAGGAGGGATGGCAAAAGGATAAACTACAAGGGATAGGAAGTTATGGAGAGCCATAGCTGCCCATATCTCAAGGGGATCTGACACATATGAAAAGATCTAAATAATTCAAATACAAATGATATTAAGAATTTATGAATATAAGAATTTTCTTAATGTTAACAAAATAACCCCTCCTTTCATAAAATTCTCAGTCTTATCCATTGTATTTTTGTTCTTTCTTGTCTTGAAGTCAAAACACTATGATCACTTGACTGTATCCCTTTTGCATGTGAACACAATTCTTACTTTGTGAAATTTTTGCCTTATTACTGTTACTTTAACTAGTTTTGACTTGCATATATATTTTTTGCATAGTATTATTTTTCCTGTTCTTTTTTCTTCCTTTTCTTATTGTTTATTGAGAACTTTGTCAATTTCATTTGTTGAGCATTTTGCTAATTATTTTAACAGTAATTTTCTACCTTGAATGCTTCTTGAGCCTTTCTTGGGTGAAATTTAGCATGGGAAAAAAATCAGTTAAGATTAGAAGCCATGAAAGCCATGTAGCATCAGGGCATTTTATTATTATTATTATTATTATTATTATTATTATTATTATTATTATTATTCATAGTGGTTTATATGCATCAATACCACATTTGCATCAAAACTTACAAATATGCACTTCAGGAACTCCAAAAAACATTCTTTTTTTCACTTCTTACTGAACAAAAACTATTTTTAAAACTATAAAATTAAACTTAAAATTATAAATTATATTTCAACAAGACTCCTTCCATCACACAAGTGTTTCAAAAAATAATTCCTATGTCTTAAAAGCAAATTTGAAGTATCTGGTAGGCTAATATTTACTCAGATTTTGTATAATCTAAGTACTTGTACTGAGCCTTATTCAATATGGTAAGATTAAATTTAAATAATGCAAAGTGTGTGTGTGTGTGTGTGTGTGTGTGTGTGTGTGTGTGTGGAGGAGTCTTATATGTCATTAACTACAATTTATTATAACACCAGAATTAACTTTCATCTAATGTTCATTTCTTTTAGTTATTATTAAAATTATTTTCTTTTTTTTTTTAATCAGTATGACTAGAAGCAAGGCAGTAAAGCCACTAGCATGCAAGGAGTTACAGGGTATGGAGGAATTAGGAACAGAAACATTAGTAATGAGTAGAAATATAAAAGCGCAATCAGGAGGAAAGTAGATAGCAATTGGCATTGCATTTAAAATTTTTGCAGATTAAAGTTAGTTGGAAAGCATGGGATAGGGAAGTATTTCTACAAGCAATAAGTGCGAGATAAGAAACTGTTAACATTGAAGTTACTGCTACATCTAGCTCGCTCAACTGCAAATTGATGAGATCTTGATGCCAGTTTAGTATTACAGTTAAATTTATACAGTCTTTGTACCATAGTAAAGAGTTCATCTGAACAAGTGTCATGAAAGTATTTATAAAAAAATCACAGAGAGGCAACCTTATGGTGGTGAGCAAGTGATTGAAGCTGAGCTGACAGATCAGGACTAATAATATTGATCATTCTTCTTTGGATATTATCAAGGAGCTTCCAGAAAATAGCAGGGGCACTGGACTATATTTAGTAGCAATATTCTAAGCATGTATGCCGGTAGACTTATAGATATGCAAGATAGATTTCGGAGAGAAAAATTGTCTTTCTCAACACAGTGAACTGACTTAACAGCTGATCTAGCGATGGATTCAGTGTAGTCTTTCCACCTCATGTCAGCTGAGAACGTTAGTCTGAGAAGGCACAATGAGTCACTTTCTTGGAGGATATCATCAACCATGTAAATGTTGAGGGGTCTCTCAAATGATTAATGGAGAGCGGTTTACTTTTGGCAGTGTTAAAATTAACAAACCATCTTAACCCCCAGTTTATAATAATCTTGAGGTTGTCTTGGATATAGCCTGGCATTTTGACCTTTTTTGACTGATCAGCCTTACTATCAAGGCAGGTAGTGTCATCACCATAGATACCAAGTTAAGAGCTGATTTCATCAGGAAGGTTGTTAATGAAGATTAAAAACAATGTAGGACCAAGGATAGAGCCATGGGGGATACTTGTGTTAGTATGAAAATTATGTACATAAATTCTTTTATTATAATAAAATGTTACATAAGAAATTAAATTAACATTATTTTTAAATAGGTGGGGGTCTTATATGCCATTCACTGAAACTTAATATGACACCAGAAATAACTTACACCAACCTTCATTTCATTTATGTTACTAAATTCTTTTATTAAAATAATTCATTGTGTATTTGATCCATTTACACAAATTTTTAAAGACAATTTGATTGTGCCAGATGCTTTCATTTATTGACAATAAACAAGTATACGTCAAAAGTAGTCACTCAATTTGGACAGTTACAGCACTTACGTTCTGTACACCGTGTTCCTGTATATGTAGTGTCACTGCAGTCACAGACGAAACCATTCTTTTTTTGAATGCAAATACCATTATTAGCACATGTTGTGGGCTGACAAAGCATAGATATGTCTGCAAAGAAAAAATCAAACAGTGAAAAATGGTTTAAATACAAATGGAATTCATGATTAATTTTTTAAAAATATTTTTCATTTATTTTTGTTGCTTTTGATTGTAGTTATCTGACCCATGTTGTCTGCTTAACAGTTGAAGAATATAAAAAACAAAAACAAACTGAGTGTTGCATTAAAAAGCCAAAAAAAATAAGATGAAAGAAAGACTTGGTAAAAATTAATAACAGTGACAATGTTTATCTAAGAAGTCTGGAAAATGTAAAACTATTACATCAATTACTATCAGATGTAAAAAAAGAAACAAAAATGAAAGGAACATGAGACAAAATCAACAGTAACAACATTGATACTGGTAAGTATAGCAGGAATGAAAGCCACAATAGGTATAACCTCCCCAGGTAGATAAGAAGAGCTGATTAAGTAGAAATTGTTAGGGCATATGGTTCAGTTCATTTTTATTAGTTAATGGTGATGGATAATATATATATATATATATATATATATATATGTATATATAAATAAAAAGAAAGAACAGTAAGATATATAATCTGGTGTTCTTATAGATATTTTTATTTTTACAAAATAGTGCTCAATGTAAATTTACAGAGCATTAATATTATAAATTAATTGATTTAAAATACGTTTTTTTTCACTACACAGTTCTAACCATGTTTCAAAAATGGAAGCTGAAAGCTCCAAACTTAATTTTGTAATTAAATTAAAGACATTAGTTCCATTTCATCCTCAAGCGAATTTCTGAAGTACTCCAATGTTTTTGTTTGAGTTTGGGTTTGACCAATTCGTAAAAAAAAAAAAAGAAAAATCTAATTAAGACATGCGTGTCCGTCAACCTTAAACAATAATCTTTGTCAATTTTATTTTTCAGTCTTTATGATGGGGCTCTACTGCTAGTATATATATATATATGGAATGAGCTGACAAGACTAAGTTTTCTTGTCTTTTTGCGTGTAGGGGGAGGTTTCTGTCAGATGACATTTTCTATTGTCTGGCAGTGTTCTGGTCACATAAGGGTGCCAGATTCAGAGGTTAGACTATATATATATATATATATATATATATATATATATATATATATATATATATTCAGTATATTTGGGTTGTAATTATTATTTAAACATTTATTGTTAAAATAAACATTTTCAACTTACTTTGGCATCCTTTCAAGACACCGGGATGCTTGTCAGTAGCAGCATAAATATCGGCAATGTTACCGTTCAAATTAAGAGAGGCAATGCATCCCTGTAAGCCATGAGTTGAACGCAATTTTGTCACTTCATTTTTCATAAAGACACTTTTTGGTGCTCCTCCAATATACAATGGTCCATCCACATCAAGTGTTTCCAACTTGTCCTGCGTAGACACGACTTTGCTGTTGTCAACCTTCATATTCCATCGTTGAGGAGTCACTCGATCAATGCTCACATAGTGCCATTTGTTATCATTCAGTTTGTATGGTGTTTGGAAGTAGATGGATGTTGGTGAGCTGCCCATATTGTAGACCATTGCTAGGTAGCCATCTTGTAATTCCAAAGCAATGAACTCATTGTTGCTTCCACCATTATAGAGAAGGAGACCACTGGATTCTTTTGTTTTGAACATGAAGTCAAGTTTCATGGTTGTTGGGGCTTCTAAAGTTGGCATCTCAATAAAGCTTTCTTGTGTTGGGAAGGTCACTGCATGGTAGACCAGTGCTGGCGAGGTTTCTCCATAGATAAAGACAAGGACTGGTTTAGGATCAGATTTCAGCTTACTGAAAATGTCAAGGTTGTTATAGTGAAAATTCTGCATGTAACCAATAAAGTTGTTGGTAGGTTTACCAGACAGATCCTTAGGGCGGGCAGCAATGTCAACTTTATTGACATTGAACTTAAAGTTTTTGGACTTGATGGTTTCTGAAATCAACAAAAAGATATTTATTTAGAAAGAATAAATAATAAAATTTGTTTTCTTGGTTAACAATGAAATAAAATTTATTTTTTAAATTCATGCATTATTAAAAATGTACTCTATTATATTATGTAGGACACACTTTAACTCAGGGAATTAGAACATCTCACCCTAGCATTAATTCCACAAGTGGTTGGAAGACCTCCGGAGAGATGTCAATTCATGCCTACATTTACAAAGAAAAACCTAAACTCTCCATCAAGGGTCACCAATTGTGCTCTTCACACATTTTCCCAGTTTGACCTCAGTCTGCTCAAAAACCTGGATCCCCACCCCTGTTATACATACCAAAGTTCTTCAATAGACTACCAAAAATATATGGAACAAAGCACAAAATACTTTACTTAAAGAAGAAATTGAGAGAAAATTAGACTATTTCTTGCTGGGGTGATTTTGACAGATGTATAAAATGTCCAGTTAGATATGAGAATCTTAGAGGAACAGATTGACCTCTCCAAATTTTTCAAACTTTTGGGTAACATCTTGTCAAGAATATAATGTATAATATATAAGTTTTTGATTTTAATTTCCTCTTTGACAGTAAAAATTAAGATCAAATAATTTAAACATGGATTCTCCACTGTTGTACACTGTATGTTTGCTTGAAATCAAATAAAAAATCTCCCCCACCAAATGTACTCACTTGTAACCGCAGCACCATCATCAACCCACATGTATATTTGATTGGCTCTTCTGCGGATGTAAAGAGTGTGCCAATTTTGGTCATTCAATTGTTTTCCAGTTCTTAGTCTCTGGAAACAAAAATAAGGTTAAATGAGGAAAAGAAAATAAAAGAAAAGAAAATGGGAGAAGTAATAAGAGAGAAATTGAAATAAAGAAAGAGAATGTGAAATAGAGAAAGAGTAGGAAAGAAACAGAGAAAGAGTAAGGAAAATGAAGAAAAGAGGAAAATGAAATATGGATATTAAACCAAGATTGAGTGATAGGAATAAGGAGAAAAGAGGTCAAGAATAAAAAGCAAGTAAAACTGAAAGAGAAAATAAAAGAAAGAAGAGAGAGAGAGAAAAAAGAAAAGAATGGAGATGAATGAACAAAAACAAATGAAAAATAGAAAGAAAAAATGCACAAGAGAAAAGAAAAAGAGAAACAAGAAGTAAGAAAATAAGGGAGAATTTAATAAAAGAAGAGAGAGAAAGAAAAGTGAAAAAAGAAAAACATAAGAATGAAAGAGAGAAAGGGCAAAAACAAAGTGAGAAAAGAGAAATAGTGAGAACGCAATAATAGGAAAAATACAAAAGAATTTGAAAGGAAAAAAAAACAAATCTGAAAGCAAATAGAGAGTGAGAATGCAAAAAAGAAAGAAAAAGCAAAGCACATGAGTAAGAGAGAAATAGAGAAGGAGAGAGAGGGAAAAACAAAGAGAGAGGAAAAGTCAGATTAAAAAGTTGATAGAAAAAATCTTTTTAAATTCTTACTCTTGTAATTCCATTGACAGTGATGACCAAAACAACTTCCCCATTCACCAAGCTGACATCCAAACTGTCTGTAGAATTTTTGGCAGTGGTGTGGAACAAGGTTGCATTTTTAAGTGGGGTCTGGAATCTCATTGATATATCATCAACGTGACTTGCCTGAGTTTCTTCATATGTTATGTAAGCATACTTGAGTCCATCAATTACAGCAATTGGAGCCTCTGCATGGGGAAAAATTGGTTTTCACTTAATCAGTTTATCAATACTAACTTTTTTATTGGCATATATAACTGAACTGAGTATTAATATTCATAGTACGAATAAGCTTCAATTAAGATGGTGTTACATTCTTTCCAAAATCAGATCTGATTCATGTTACACTAATTTCCACTACTGGCCAGATGTGATTGTTCTTACGACCCAAAACTCAACTAAAAATCCATCAGCTGTGCAAGGCTCCACATATATTTTCCATTTACTCACACACTCAAAAAAAAAAAAAAAAAAAAAAAAAAAAGAAGCAATATAATTCAGAATTTCCACCCAATAGCACCCACCCCACCTAAAGAAACAAAATGAAAACTGAAGCTGATTTGAGCCTCAAAAAAGACATAAAAGCCCATAAAAGGGACATTTGTCAGTTGGACAGCATATTGACCAGAGTTCACAAGCTCAAAAAGTGACCACCCATCTCCAAAAAAATTAGACTTGATCTGCTTGCCAACATCATCATCCCAGCAATTCACAACTTATCCTCTCTCTTTTTCCATATGCCTCACTAGATGCCTTCACAACACATCTCATTTTTTCATATGAGAGTCATATACACTGATTTTTCATTTATTGTATTTTATGTCGATACAATTGTTTATTGCTTTAAATTTTTGTCATTTCTTTTTTGTTCTGTTACCATTTGCTTAGTAACACGTTCATATCATAACAATGTCATAAGTGAAAATGTAGGGAGAGAAAATGTATTATATTGTAGTGAGTTAAGGCTATGACAGATGACCAGCAAGTCTAAAGGTCATAGCAGTTGACTAATGATTATATAAACTTGTAATTTTGAAGAGAAACTCTTTCTTTTTCTAAAACATTTCCCTACTGCTGGTGATATAAGTATTACTTTTCTTATCTGTCTATATTTCTGAGATGAGGTGTTTGCTATTATTTACATTATTTGCATTGTTCGGACTGTTGACCTCATTTTTATTGCAATGTTTTGGCCGTTGTATGCTCCAGCCTTCTTCAGGTGATTGGAATTTTGAACTGAACCGTTTATTTCCAATCACGTGAAAAAAGGCTGGAGCATGCAACAGCTGAAACACCGTGAACATGGCAATAAAGATGAGGACAACAGTCTGAACAATGTAAATAATGTAAATAATTTTTTTTCTTGATTTAAAATGTAGACATTTAGACTTTGTGTTCAATGAAAGCCCTAACTTTCCACTGTAAATTTTTATTATTTTATTCAGTTGCATCTTAATGGCTTTATTGCCTTGCTTGGTGTGAAATGATTAAATAAAATCATTAACAAGAATAAATAAAAATGTTGCAAAAAAAAATGTAGAATCCAAATCTTTGAGTCTTTGAACAACTTGTTCTTTGTTGAAAGGGAAATGAAAAACAACATTAATTTTGTCTATATTTCTGAGATGCTCCACCCATAAGTCTCAAAGGGATCATGTGCTTCAAAGACTTCACTCCACATAGCCTGCAAATGAATTCTAGCTTCCCTATCCATTCTACCATTAGAAGACAGTACACCAATCTGTCAATCTCGGGAAGTAACTTTAAATCGAATTTAGGGCCTGCCATCAATCACTGAAATAGCTTGTGTTCATCTTGTCTGGTTTTTGCATGTCTATATGTTGAGAGGGCCTCTCTCGACTGAGAAAAAACTGGTGTTATATAGCTCTCCCAGTCCCAGACCCAAGCTGACTATTGGCTAATACCTGCCCAGTATCATTCATATGCAAATAGTCAGTACCACCTACTCTAAGTAGAAGGTCTTCTCTCAACAGCCCATTGTGGAAGGGGAGACAACTCCTGGTGTTATATAGCTCTCCCAGTCCCAGACCCATGTTGACTATTGGCTAATACCTGCCCAGTATTGTTCATATGCAAATAGTCAGCGCCACCTACTCTAACTAGAAGGTCTTCTCTTGACAGACCATTGTGGAAGAGGACACAACACCTGGTGCTTACAGCACTACATACAATCAACACAGAGTCTTTTATCAGGCTGGCCTGATTCTCTATTACACAATTATGAGTAGTGAGTTTGATCCTCACTGGTTGATCTGCACATTTGATCTTTTTCCAGATCTAAGTTACATTTAGCAAATCATTTGGGCACTTCAACGTAGTGTAATGGTTAACAAGCTTGTCTCACTAGATCAATTAGAGCTAAGTAGCGACTTCAGTCATCATAATTTTAGCCTAGTGCTACATCTAAGCTATGATTAGAAAATTATTTTTATTACTAACACTATTTTGTTTAGTTTCTTGTATATAAATTTTATAATCCATTCTAAATATTCATTAGTGTTTCATTTTTAAATGTTGTTATTTTATTATCCCCGCCCCCCACACAGAGACAAATTGTATATATGGGAACTAGTTAGAACTTCATAGAGACTTTGAGGTGTTATGGTGGCTGTAGTAAGAATGGTAAGTAAGAATGTGTTGTTTTGGTGTAAGGAATACAGTGGTATGTTTGGGTGAGTAATTGTGGCTAGCTAAGTTTAAAATAAGACAGATTGATGGCCAGCCTTCCCCTATCCCTCCTTTTGGCCTTGTGCCACATTTTTATGTTTTTCAAAATAAATATTACTTTCCTCTATGGTACTTAGACTTTATCAATTAAGTGCAGTACTAGATTAGCAGCTAGGTCTCATCATATTACAGTTGAAATGGCTAGGTGTAGCTGTAAGTTCCATGCTAATAGTTTCTTCTCTTGCACATCTTGCTTGTGGAACATTTTTGACTTCTTGCTTCCCACTCAACTTTGAACATCAAAAATTTAAATGCAATGTCAACCATTAGCTTCTGTCTTGTCAAATTCCATTCTTTTATTGTCTTCTCTGTTTCTTTCACTCTCAGTAACCCCTTGCATCCTTGTGGCTTTTATTGCCTTGCTTAGGGTGAAATGATAAAAAAATGACTCATCATGTGTTATACAGCCTTTAATTACAAAGGTTTTTTTTTTACCCAAGTTTTATATTTTAAAATGGAGAAGAGTGGTGAACCACCAAAATCCCTTTCTTAATATTTAATAGGCAGCTCACAGTTAGTTAATGTCAAACAAACTAGTCTAGCAAACTATTACTACTGTGTAGTAAATTTGAGCTTCTCTCAATATCCCAAACACATATGACCTTGTGTCAAATATAGTGAAGCTTAATAAAGTGTTCTAAATATTATATATACTTAAAAGTATGAATGCAATTATATTCTCACACTTTATATTGTTTGAAACATCTTCAATAATTATTCTTGTTGCTTACATTAAAAACTGGTGATCACAAAAAGAGCTGAAAAAAGTCTGTTTGAACACAATTTGACACTTCTCAAAATTATAGAAAAGATTTATTATAGTTTTTCAATTTTTAGGTTCATTATTATTGTGCATTTTAACATTTGTTTTTTAAAGTTAGTCTAGTAAAGAATTATAATATCTAGACACTCAGTAAGGATTGAATTCATTATATTAACAGTAGCTGTCATAGTTCCAAGCTGTTTGTACTACCTGTGATACCAAGACTAGGATTTATTAAACAGAATTTGGAATGTTAATGATTCTTAAAGTTACTAACAAAAGTTACAATGAGGCAATAGAAAAAAAAAAGGAATCAACTTAAAAATTATATAAAAACCATCTTCTTTCTCACCTTTGTCACAATTGGGCCCAGTGTATGGAGTGTTTGAGCAATCACAAATGTATCTATTCCAATAGTCACGACACAGCCCATTCTTACAAGTATTGACATCACACTGATGTCTAATAGACCGGCACTCTTTTATAATACCATAGTTGGAACCACTGTCATGTCGAAGAGCATCTCGTCTACGGTTCACCTACATGAATAAAAGCAATGTCAAGTAAATGTATAAAAAGAGTCTCTACAAAGATCAAAATAAGCAAGGCTCACTGGTAAAGCATAGGACTGTAATGACCCAGACAATTCTTTAAGACTTTGCAGTTAAAACAATCTAATCATTTATTTTTGAAAAGAGAAAGATTAATTTTTGCTGGAATTTTTGAGGTGAGGAATTGTAGGAAAATGAAATAAAACTAATAAATAAAATAATAATAAAGAATAAAAAATAGAAATTCATTTTTTGAAGAAGCAATAAAGGAACTGGAAAGTGTTTTTTGTCCCTTGTGCAATTTTGTGACCCCACTTCCGAAAAGGACAGAATATTTTGTTTTCTACTTTCTGATGACATTGTTCAGATGTGGCTTGTCACCTTACTCATGAAGTAAGTGAATTGGTCATTTCAACTTGGCACAAAGCTGATTTGACTTTGACCATTTTAACCATTATTATCCTTACTTATGTACCAAAAAAGAAAATGAACATACCCAAGATACTTTGAGAACTTTGTTCAACTACAGTCACCCTAAGAAGAATAAACTCTATGTGGTAGAAACTCAAGTTTCTGTACTCTTCTGAATTGCTTACATATGAATGCACACCCATATAAAATACACACAAACATTCAACCTTTATAACTTTCATAGAATTATCATTATTACATGCTTTGCTATTTGGACCAGCATATTCATCTTGGTTGTAATAGTCACAAGTTTTGGCCATTGTAGTCTTCATACTCAGTAAACTTCATGGAATTTAGAGGCAAACCCTTTATTCAATCTAAGGAGTAGATTGTTCTCAATCTGATCTCTATGCTTAGGAAACATTTCATATCAGTATTCATCAATCTTCCTATTTATTCAACTTTGTCCCTTGTCTATTTCTTCCACTGAACCAGAGTATGTAACGTGTGAGCATGGGCCTCCTCGGCAGTTTGTAAGTTCAATCCCTTTGCTTGGTAGTGCTGAACAGTTACAGACTTTGTTTCAGCAGGAGAAATGAATCAAAGGGGAATAATACTACTGAGAATTAACTGATATGAGTTATATCCCTTAAGGATGGAAGGCAGAATGAGAACCATCTACCCTGTGGACTGAATAAAGAATTTAGTTAAAAATTCTAAGAATGTAATCAAGTACAAAGACAGATACCTGAAGAAGGCTGGGGGGCATAACAGCTAAAACATTTTTTGGGTATAAAATCCAAGATTAAGATGTTGGTCTGAATAGCAAATCATATAATAAACAAAGATAAAATTGATAATTCAAATGACAACTATTTTTCCTGTCCCCTGACCTTGGAGAATGCTGGGTGTCATGATTGGTCCTTCATGATATCTGTAGGTCAATAAGGGTTACTTAGTAGTGCTCATGTTTTACACTAATAGTTAAAATTTATGCCTAAAATCTATTGGTGAATATTTAAATATTGATCTCAAGTTTTTCAGTTTGTTGCACTTACTATTGGGCTATATTCAAAGGTGTAAATTAGTGCTGGACTTACCTATAAGCTAAATAAGCTATAGCTTAGAGCCACACACTCTTGGGGCCTCATTTCTAAAAATACATTTTTATTTTATCATTAGTTTTTATTTTTTAACACTAAATCATAAAAATTATATATATATATATATATATATATATATATATATTATGTATTCTTTATAATTAACATTTAATGGCGTGCAGAGTTTTGGTAACCAGTTCCTTGATTGTATTCCCCTAAGACTTAAGTATGGAGTGCCTTTAGGGTCTAGTATGTGAGAAAGGAAGACATCTTAAATATGTAAAAACAGATGAAACATGAAATAAACACTTTATTTCAAAAACATCCAATCAAAGGGTGAAATAAAATGTTTTATTTCACCCTTTGATTGGATGCCTTCTCAATATGAATGCCCAGGGCCATTGCACACTCTTCTCCACTTCTGCATGCTTCTGTTAACATTAATATAAAAAATAATAATTATTGAAATAATGATAACAATTTTGTAATCATTAGTAAATAATAATTATGTATAATTATTTAAATTTTTTTTACCCCAATTTTTTTAGAGAAGGGCCTTGAATTTCATATAGCTTAGGACCTCAGCAGAGTTAAGCCAGGCCTTTGTGTAAATACATTTACAGCTATATTGAATAATGCTATCTATTAATCTTACATAATTATTAGAGAATTGTGATATAAGACCATGTATGCTTTATTTTGGTTGGTTGGTTGATTTTGTTTAATGGCATATCAACCTCTATGTACTAATTAGTGGCAAAATCTGAATATTTTGAACACAATTTTATGGTTTCAACTACAGATAAAATGTATTTTTCGTCATTTTGCTATAAAATGTATTGTTGGTAATTTTACTATAAATAGTTATTGTTGGCAATTTTTTTTTATATAAAAATTTATTGCTGGTATTTTTAATATAAAAATGTATTTTTATACTTTTGTAGTATTTTGTTTGGGAGTTTATGATTTGCCCATAACTAGGACCCTAACAGGTACTACCACCTGCTTTATTTTGGTAAATAAAATTAGATTTATTTAATTTAAAAATAAAAAAAAAACACCAATGTGCATTTCCTGCTTTGTTTTTTCTCAACAATGTAAAACATTTGTATATCATGATGACCTTTTTCTAATTATTATTTTATAAAAAACTTTATATGCCAGGATAAAAAAATAAAACACTGAAAATAGCTATTTTGCTTTTTTATTATTTCTAAAAATAAATCACATGTACATCAGGAGTAATATACAGAATGCCATATGATGCACATGTGGCAGCAAACATGTATTATGAATATACAGTTTGTATTGCACATGTTAACAATCAGTTGTAAAAATGATGAGGTTTATGATAAACTTTCGAAGTTCTCCCAACAAAAAACTCTTTTGGTGTTAATCTCGACTCGCCACTTGAATTCAATAAAAGACTAATAAGAAGCATTCTAGAATTTAATTGTCTATCTTGAAGCATTCCAAAATTTAATCTTTCTTTTCTAATATGTCTACAGGTACTCTGTAAAAATTTGAGTTAAATCAATACTTTAATTCACATATAGTTACATAATATGGAATTAAAATTTATTTTCAAAGATAATCTAAACTTATTAATTAATGTTGGAAATTATAAACATTTAAAATCTATAAAAATGAAAAATTGTTGGTGATATATTTTCTGTTGATATTGCATGTAGGTATTTATCTGTAGCCCATTCACATAGAATGTGACACAAGGTCAATATTTAAAGTAGTATTTGGTAGCCTTACAAAAACAGTACAAGCCTCCTTGATACTTCCACTTTTGGAGATACCTCAGGTACTGAGTAAGAATGTGTTGTTTTGGTGTAAGGAATACTGTGGTATGTTTGGGTGAGTAATCGTGGCTAGCTAAGTTTAAGATAAGACAGATTGATGGCCAGCCTTCCCCTATCCCTCCTTTTCGCCTTGTGCCACATTTTTATGTTTTTCAAAATAAATATTACTTTCCTCTATGGTACCAATCAGCTTCTCAAAGGAGAGGTAATGTCAGGTTGGTGATGACTCTCTGGAGCTCAGACATAATATTCAAATTGAAACCCTCTGACCTGGTTGACATGTAACAGCTCTATAACCACTTCAACTTTAATATATCTTGTAATGATATATTTGCATCTGTGAGTATTCTTTATTTACATATCGTATATTAGGGTCTTTATTTGATGAAGGCTTTGTTGGCAAAGATGCGTTTCAGTTCTATATGAATGAATAAATAATTAGAAAAAACAGAAAGAGAACATACCTCAAATTCTATCAAGCATCCACGGAAACCTTTTGAAGAGAAGAGGGCCCAAGGTAGACGTCTTTCTATGTTTGGGCCCACCCAGCCAATGTACATATCTCCAGGGAATGGATTAACAAAGTGGTCATTCTTTGAGAGGTCAACCCTCTTTCGGAAACTATCAATCTGAAGCTCAAGATAACTCTGCAGAGGGTCAATGCTTATTCGGACATCATGTGGATTGCCATCAATGACAACTTCATCAGAAAATTTCACTCGATTTGTACCACTGCCAAAATTGTAGACAATATACAGGTCGCCATCGAATAACTCAAGCGCAATAAAGTATTTGCGATCACCATTAAAAAGCAAGAGGCCATGGGGATCATTTGTCTGAAATTTGAACTTGATTTCTCCACCTCGGTTTCGTATGTCCCAGGTGTGAGTTCGCAGATAACTTTCAGATGTTGAGAATGTCACAGGTGAGAATGAATCTCTTTTGGGTGGTTTTGAAGTTACGTGAGGGATTACAACAGTGGTGTCAGTAGTTGATGTTGCAGATGATGTAGAGATCAGATCCAGGTGAGACCGTGCAGTATCATATTCAACCTGAAAAGAAATCAAAGAAAAATACAGTGTGAAATTTTGAGATCTATCATTATTGTTACTTCATGATCTCTCTGGACTAAAATCCTCATCCTTGTTGTCTTTACACTATATTTCAGCTGAAGAATGCATTGGTTGACAAGGATGAGACGATTACCCTAAAGAACACATGACATGATGGTCATTGTAATTTATTGACATAGAGCAGTACTTACTGAATGTTTAATGAGCTCATTAATATAAAAATATATTGGATTTCAAGAATTGTCTTTATTGAAATTCTCATGAACTTATTAATATAAAAACACTAAAAAATTGTGCAAAAGATAAATTGAAAGTTTTAAAATTCTAAAAGTTTACATTGAAAATCATCATTGAAAACAACAATTGTCTTATTTATAGCAATTTCATAAACTATATTAAATTAAATGTGCATCATTGTATCATTGTGTATATATATATATATATATATATATATATATATTATCTATTATATATATATATATATATATATATATATATTGACCTTTCTACATTTTTGTATTATCCAAATAAGTATTGCTTTCCTCTTTGATATCTGGACTTTACAAATTTAAGCACAGTACTAGATTGGCACTTAGGTCTCACCATTTTATTGTTGAAATTATTAAGTGTAACCAAATTCTATTCTACTAGTTTCTTCTCTCACAATTCTGATCTGTAGAACATCCCTCCAACTTGTTACTTTCCAGTCAACTATGATCTTTAAAAATTTAAATTCCATCTCAATTGTACTCCTCTGTCTCCTTGAATTCTGGTCCTTTCTATTTTTCTTTTTCCTCTATAATGTTTTCTCAGTTTCTTCACTTTCAGTAACCAAGTGTGTCTTAGTGGCATTATCACCTTGCTCAGTGTGAAATGATTTAAAAAACTATTTTTATACAATTCTGTCTCTGTATATATTTGCCTATCATATCTCTTTATCATAACAAAGACCAGCTTGATGGCTGAAATGGTAGTAAGTTTGTAAATGCTGTTAGCATATTTGTATCCAAATAAAAGTGAAGATTTTGCATATTTACTAAAATGCACTTTCTCTAACAAGTGACTAAAACTGTCTCCTTACTAGTACTAGATTCAAGTTCTTGTAAAATCTTATTTGTACTTCTGAAATAATTTGGCTAAAAGCTCTTACTTACCCTTTGGATTATACCTTTGAAATTTTTATTAGTTTCCCCCTGAGTGAATGCACTATTGTCAGGAGTGCCTCCAACATATACATAGTCTCGGTGGTCAAGGAATGCCATGTTGCTCGGGATACGAAATTCTTTTTTGTAGATGCCGTCAACAATCCAATAAATCTGTAAAAAAGAAAAAGCATGAAAGACAACAATAAATTATAGTGCAGAAAAAAATTCATTTGAAATTATGTGACAGGAAAATACAGAGTTACTTTCAACACTACCTGCTTATGTTTATTCCACACTAATGCCCTGGGAAAAGTTATGAATCAGGTTCTTTCTCCCAGTTATGGGTAAAAAAGCAAAGCAGTTAGAACCCAGACATGTAAGCTATTCTAACTCAGGCCTTCCTAAACTTATTGAATTGCAACACACTTTTATTATAAAACTTTGTCACAACTCTCTCCTTTCACCAACATCCTGTTTGGTAAAAGAAATTTAGGCCCTTCTCTGTCTGGGGGACCTTGCACATTTCCAATAAAATTAACTGTTGGCTATTTTTGCTATGGAAGACCAGACATATAAATTTCGAAAATCTGCTTATATGATTTTTCTTTGGTGAAAATACCATCCTTGAGATAATTCCTTCTTTTAAGAAAATTCTTTATAACTGCTACATAGTTATTTATTTATCCTTTAAGGGGAACTATATTGTATAATTTTTCATTTGTAAAATGGCTGACTCACAATAAAAGAAAATTATTCACATATATTTAGCAAAAATAAATATGTAATACATAGTATATTTTTTATGACAAAAATAATTAGGTACATTTTTGTTTATTTTTGGTGAAGAATTCAAATGAATTAAAAAAATAAATTTAAAAATCAACATTATTAATATTAATTTGTTTGAATTTCTGGGATGAGGAATTATCATTATTTACACTATTTACATTCAGACTATTATTCTTGTTTTTGTTGTTATCACAATGTTTCAGCCATTATGCCCTCCTGCCATCATCAGATATATATCAGAGTCTGTCTATATTTCTGTGATGAGGTATTATGTACATTATTTACATTATTCAGACTATTGTCCTCATCTTTGTCGCCATATTTATCACATTTTGGCCATTGTACGCTTCGGCCTTCTTCAGGTGGTTGTCCTCAAGGACACATGGCACAGTGGATAAAAGCGTTGGTTAGATCCAGTGACAGGACCCAAAGAGTGTGAGTTCAATACCCGGTTAAGGCAGTGGAGAACTTTCAGAGGGAAATTAACAGGAGATAACTGATAACTGACATCCATCAAACATGGCACATGGAACTAGAACAGTCTACCCCGGTGAGCGAAATAAAGGGTTCAGTTCGACATTCCAACTACCTGAAGAAGGCCGGAGTGTACAATGGCCGAAATGTTGTGATAAATATGGAGACAAAGATGAGGACAATAGTCTGAATAATGTAAATAATAAAGATATATATCAATCTGGGTAACCTATTAATATACACCTGATGAAGTTCAGAGAGTTCAACAGCTGAAAAGTTTTGATAACAACAATGAAGATGAGGAGACTAGTTTGAATGTAAATAGTGTAAATTATTAATATGAAGTATAAATATGAAATAGACAAAAGAATTGTTATTGCTTTGTGTTACTGCCTTTGTCATTAAATATGTATTTATTACTGTTTGATCCTAATATCCAGTTTTATCACTTTTACCTGGGATTAAATCTTGGATCTTACCTGTGATCCTTCCCGTCTTAATTCAACTTCATGATCTGTGCTATCATCAAAACGAATACTTGTTGGCTTGTTCATTGGGATCTTTTCTCTGCGACCATCAGAACCTTCACTTATAAAGTAAAGATTTCCATCCTAAATTTGGAGGAGAAAAAAATAAAACATTGTAAGTTTCACATTATATTAATCTTATTATATTTTATTTTCTGTTTAAATTTTATTTATATTTATTATTTACTCATTGAGCATTTACTCCAGTAGTAACTGGTGGCTTATATTAAAGATCAAGTGGCAGTAAGTCTTCTCTATATTCCAGCACACTTCTGAGTATCCTAGCTGTTTTTGGCAGTAATGTTGTCTAGATGGTTCCAACTCTTACCTGAATTTCCAATTCTTCTGGTATTTTTCCAGGAGCATTCCTAGCACTCTGAAAATAACTCATATGACTTGTCACTGTCATGTTCTGTAAGTTTATGGTAAATTCAAGAGACTTATAAATGTCGTAACTTTCTTTCAAATTTTCAGTGAAAAATCAGGCATATTTACTTTTTGTTTACAAAGACAAAATCTGGATTTTTGTACTTCATCAACTTTTTATTAAGCTTTTATATTTTATTAATATTAAAATTTGTCCATGTCCATGTATTGAATTCATCCATGTACTGAATACTATGGGCATATTTAGTCTGGTGCTCCAATTGAGCATCTTGAGATTCTTGACAAAATCCAAAGTAGGGTCTGCAATACAATCAATCCTGACCAGGCACCTGATTTCCAATCATTTTCTTACTGACAAGATGTGGCTTCCCTCTGCTTGTTCTACAAATATTTTCGTGGTAACTGCCTGGACGACTTTTTTTACTGGAGCCCCAAATACATGAAATTTAAGCATGCTACTAGATTGGTAATTAGGTCTCATCATTTTACTGTTGAAGTAACTAGATGCAACTGCCACTTCTACTGTAACAGTTTTTTTCTCACACTTCCCACCTCTGGAACTCACTTCCTATTTCTTGCTTCCCTGATAATTACAATCTTCAAAATTTTAAATGCAACGTAACATGGCATCTTCTGCCTTTTGAAGCCTGTCCCTTTTTTGCTCATCCCTCAATCCTCCCTTCTCATTTTCATTCATTTGCCAAAAAATATCCTTTCAATATTGTTTTTTTCTTAGTTTGTCTAAAAATATAGGCATTCAAAAATCTGTGATTAAAAACACTAAAAATTAGTGTACAAATCCTAATCTACTCAATAATTTCTCTATAAGATACAATAATCTCTCTATAAGATACAATAATCTCTCTATAAGATACAATATCTACCCATATGATGTAGCTTTTTCTTCATTACCAGAAGAGTCCATTACATATAGATAGGGGTGAATTGTCCATTGCTATATAATGAACTCTTCTGATGACAGAAATAGAAATGGATTTTTTTTGTTATTTTAAACTTTATAAAATCTATAAATTATTTTACATAATTTGATATAACAGGATGGCTCAATGCTTGCATTATAATGGTTTGAATATAAACACAACTGGATCCATCTGTAGATATTGGAGATCAAATAAGTGATGGCTCAATTATTGCATTATAATGGTTTGAATATTTAAAAAAAAAATGAATCTATCTGCAGATATTAGAGATCAAATGAGTTTTTGCAAATGGATACCAAAATCATGATCAGTGTTGGGATGCTGATTACAGAATGCAGCTTAAAATTTTCAAATAATTTTTTTCACTTAAATATGCTTGATATCTCAATTGTACTGACATTTCAGATAAGCAAAATCTTACTTTCAAAATCAGGAACATCGTTCTTTCTGGATTGGAAGCATACCATAGAACACCCTCCCTCTGTGAAGGATCATTTCTAAAGATGAACTTGAATGTTTCATTTGAGCTGCGGACCAAATAGTCAGGTTTGAATGTAGATAGGTTAAATGCATAGAAGTAGTTTCCACTCAAAGTCAGCCATTTTCTTGCAGGTGGAACCTCTGAAAAAAAATATAGAAAATAATTTTTCAATATATTTTCAATTATTGACAGAGACATACTGAGTACATTAAGCATCTAAGAAGACATTTCTAGAAGGTTATAAATTAAAGTTGATGTATCAAATTTTAACATTCTTGTTTCTTTTTCAGATGTATCAAGTGCATTAACATGGCAGCTTCTAATCAGAGAGAGGAAATGAAAAGGCATGCCATGCTTATAGCACTAGCCATCTACTGCAGTGAGATTGCAAGCTTCTTGGCCAGGTGTGTAGGAGAAATTCTAAGTAGCTCTATATGCATCCCATAATAATACATACCAAATTCATGTTGTCTATGTTGGTCCTGGAGTTTGTGAGTAATGATGGCAATGTCATACCACCCCACTTTTTCTTGCAGATCCACAGTGGGATGATATGACATGGTATTATATGAGCATCATGGCATATATCTGTCATAGCCTATAAAGAGGTGCTAAGGCCATCCTTTATGATAAAAGTGGCTTTATTGAATAACCTGTCTTTTTCTGTTTTTCTAAGTTGAAAATGTATATAAATTTTTCTGAAAATATACTGAATATTTTCAACAGTGTTTTTTGTCTTTTTATATTATAATTTGTTCTTAATTACTTGGCACACCATGTATATATATATATATATATATATATATATATATATATATATATATATATATATATATATATATATATATATTTTATTGTTGGGGAAAGTGGAAAAAGTTTAAAAAGTTTATTGTGATGTTTTTCGTCCTTTAGGAATTCATTGGACTAAATTTGTTATGTTGGTATAACTACATATGCACACGAATGAGAGGTGCTGGGAATTTTAGAATTTTTTATATTTTAATTATTTTTTTTATCCAGTTGAATTCATTGAGTTTTTTTCTTTTTCTTTCCATCACTTTTGTAAGTATGTATTCCACACTGTGATATTAGCATATATATATATATATATATATATATATATATATATATAGTCATCTGCAGACAGACTGTTTCACTGTATCACAGCTCATCAGTGTGGTTAGGTATCCAATTGCTTCAAGGTGGGATTGAAACTTGACCGATTTGACATCAGTCTGCGACTCTACCCCAAGGCTATTGGTGCACGGCAGAGAAAGGAAATTTTTAATGCATCATATACATGATATATAAACACCATATCAGCTGCCATAGCAGTCAATTCTTACAAAGAGTGAGGCATTAAGGCAGCAGCAGCCATTAAAATTCCCTTTTCTCCATAGTGCTCAAATGGCAAATGAGAGCATATATATGATAAAATATAGTTTTAAGGTGTGCTATATTTATGGATTAAAATGTTCAATATCAGGGATAGAGTATGTAAGTATAAAAGTGGACACTGAAGACGACAACCAAAGTCTGTTTCATCCTATATATATATATATATATATATATATATATATATATATATATATATGTGTGTGTGTGTGTGTGTGTGTGTGTGTGTGTGTATGTAACAATTAAAAATAATATATTTTACATTTATTCAAACATTTTCTTATGTATGGATCTTATTGATATTTCACAGATATTTATTTTTTTCATAAATATTTATTTTAATTTTATTAAATGTTAAATTTTCAAAAAACCTTCAAATTAACCACAGCATTTCTAAATAGCATGGTTGCAATGGTATTGATTTTAATTTAATTTTTTTCAGTTGTTCTGATGCCATTCTTGTTGGCAGTGGAATAAAAATTTAAGATATTCAACTGATTTTCAGATATTCCACATATAGATAGTTGATTAATTGAGTATGAAAATAAAGTATATATATATATATACAAAATGCATAATACATAAAAATAACAAAAAGGGCCAATGTATTTTTGAAAAATAATTGAAGAGAGGTATGCAGTCAAACAAGTTTACTGATCGAAGGGAGGTAAATTTCAGGTTTCAAGTGCATTTTAAACCCTTCCGATCGTAATGAAATATAAATCCCAAGAAAATAACTTATTAATTAAAATTGTTAATTTCTGTAAATAATGCAAATTGTTTGTTACATAATAGAAATCTTGGAAAATTTTTGTCCCACCTCCAAGAAAACTTATTTTGTGTTAATAAACACATTGCATCGAAAGAATATTGAATATTAACTCATTAATATAAAAGTCAGATCGAAAGGGTTAAGCATTAAATTTAAAAATTAAGTCATCATTCTGAATGAAATTGAAAACCAAAATATATATAAATATGAAAATTGCATCATCCCTTTAAAAAAGCAAAAGTAAAATATAAAAAGAATAAATTTGGGATAAACATTTAGAAGCAGTCTTTATACATTTTTTTTACAGTAGGCTTGAGTAGGAAAAAAAAAACATTTTTTTCTCAGCTTTGGATATTTTGGGTAGCAGGATGTTTATTTACAAGCTGTACAAAGGAATCACATGGAATAAAATAAGACAAAATGATAAGAAATTTAGGAACAAAAATTATTTCAAACAAACCTCATCATCTCTGTTGCTTTTACACATTCTGTATAAAATCTTCAATTTCTTTATCAGTTTTTAATTTATTATGCCCTATTATACCCTGACTATTATACCCTGATTATTATACCCTGGCTATTATATTCTGGCTATTATACCCTGATTATTATACTCTGGCTATTATAACCCGATTATTATACCCTGACTATTATACCCTGATTATTATACCCTGGCTATTATACCCTGATTATTATACCCTGATTATTATACTCTGGCTATTATACCCTGATTATTATACCCTGATTATTATACCCTGATTATTATACTCTGGCTATTATACCCTGATTATTATACTCTGGCTATTATACCCTGATTATTATACTCTGGCTATTATACCCTGATTATTATACCCTGATTATTATACTCTGGCTATTATACCCTGATTATTATACTCTGGCTATTATACCCTGATTATTATACTCTGGCTATTATACCCTGATTATTATACTCTGGCTATTATACCCTGATTATTATACCCTGGCTATTATACTCCGTTTATTATATCCTGATTATTATATCCTGATTATTAACTTGAACTTCTGTCCTATATCTTAGAAGCCTATATGTATATATATATATATATATATATATATATATATATATGTATGTATGTATCTAAGGAAAGGAATGGATTTTTATTTATTAATCCATCAGATTTTTTTTTACTTAAACATTATTTTTAGTGGATACTCATATTTGAGTAGATGCTGCATTTATTTATTAAACAGCATTTTTATTTATTTTCCTCTACCTGTCTGAATATTCAATAAATCTTATTATGAGAAAAATATGCAAACTCTGGCAGGAAAATAAATAAAAATACTGTTTAATAAATAAATGTAGCATCTACTCAATTATGAGTATCCACTAAAAATTACATTTAAGTAATACAAATCTATCTGTCATGTTAATAAATAAAAAAATCAATTCCTTTCTTTAGAAATTGCTTTGTTTACATTAGGATAGAAAAATGAGAAGATATGTCTATTTCGAGAGTTGGAGAAAAATTTGTGCTAGAAAATTTAGGTTCACTATGCTGCTCTAGATAGAAACTATCTTACATTTATAAGTCTACCATTTGTCCATGCATCAAATGTTGCTGCCATATCTGCTGCTGCTATATATATATATATATATATATATATATATATATATATATATATATATATATATATATATATATATATATATATATATATATATATATATATATATATAAATAAAAAACTATGTAGAGTAATGGATAGCGCCTTGGATTGAGGAATTGGAGAGCTGAGTTCGAATTTCAGCTGAATCTATTAAATTCACTTACATGCTAATACCCTTGGGAAAGGTGTGAATTCTCTTCTTCTCCCTCCAGCTATGGGTAATTAGCAGGACAGACTGGGTTCTATAGTCTTGGATGGCAATTGATCTAGGAAAAGGACAACTCTGAATTCAAAACCTGCGGAGGGTCGTTTGGGGAACTTGTGGCATGTAGAGCACCAGGTTTCCATATTCGGCCCTTCAAAAAGTGTGACTGGTCCTGTACGTAACCTTCACCACTATAATCAAATCTCATGTACTGTTGTCAGGCTGTCGGTTTCCTAGGAACTGATCTGCTTGGCCCTCATATGTCAAATTCAAAGGGGAGAGTCGAGTATATATATATATATATAGTTAAGTTTGAAGAATTTGGTAAACCGAATTGGTAAATCCAAGGAGGATGAAATCCTGAGAGCTCAATGTGAAGAACAGAGCTAATATTTAATGAAAACCAGACCATTACAATAATTTATTTCACCAAAATCCTTTTTAAGGGATTTTGGATCATCAGGTTTTTTCATTGTTGGAAGTGTTATTTGATGATCCAAAATCCCTTAAAAAGGATTTTGGTGAAATAAATTATTGTGTCATGGCACTTGAGTGTCTGTTGTTCATTAAATATATATATATATATATATATATATATATATATATATATATATATACAGATAGAAATGATTAGGAGGATTTGATAATTATATTTAATTAATTCATCCAGTCTGATAGAAACCTCAACAGAATGCAGAAAGCACTAGACGGCCGTTTCGTCCTATATTTGGGACTCATCAGCAGTGCGCATCCACTACCGAGAATTGAAACCCTGACAGTTAGGTTAAAACAGTTGGTATGATATTTTTATAATCTTGTAAATTACTGCAGGAGTTAAAAGTCTATACAGTAATAGTGTTATTAAGGTAATAGGTATCCTTTTGACACGTTGGTTTTTTTCAGGCACAAAGGTTAAGCATTGCCAAAAATTATTATATGACCTACCAATTTTTCCACTATTTTAAAATTTCTCTCTCTCTCTCACACACACACATATATATATATATATATATATATATATATATATATATATATGTGTGTGTGTGTGTGGTTGTATGGCTAGTAGTAGTTTATAACCCCAGCTGTTACACTTTTGCGATCTTCAGAAAAACTGGTTT